TTGGAAAATGTTCACAAAAAACTGTAAATTTTCTTGAGTTTTAGGAGGTTTAACTGGCCAGCTTTCGAGCCGCAAATGCTCCCAATTTACACGATCGAAGAAGTTCACTTTTTTGTAATTTGCAGGACAACTGTCCTTCTATAAAAGCTGAAAAGTATTTTCTGATTCCCCTTTTCAGAGAATTTTGGCGAATATTCTAAATTAACTGTAAACTCAAAGCTTCAATTGCGCCCTTCAGGATTTAAGAAGTTTGTGCCTTTCTGTGGTTACATTCTTGGGTGATTTTGGCAAATTTGCAAAAATAATTCAATTTTTCGCGATTCTGCCCGCAATTCAGCGAACTTCGAAACTTGATTTTGCCACGATTTTATAGTTCAAAGTCGGTTCCATGAACCTTGACGAGATTTGTATGTTTCTCTGCACACCGATTTTTCTAAATCGATTCCAGAATTTCTTTTGGCCTCCCCAGTTTCAATTTTCCCAATCCCCATGAGTGAAGACGATTTTTGCAAAGCAATGCTGATCAATAAACCTTGAAAAGTTCTATTTCCGGTATTTTCTTATTTGCAGCGCAAGCAGACGGTAAACATTTCTTTGGTCAACAAGATCGAAAATAAATCAAAGTTTTATGTAGTTGTGTGTGCACTTACCGATGGTTTTTATGATGGAAAAGTCGTCAATCTCATAGCCGGCTTCGTCCTTAGCATTTTCCTCCGACTCGGAGTTTTCGTACTCCTCAGTGTTTGTCCTGGCTGACGACGAATCCAGGCTGTCTGTGCTTTCCTGCCGGCTCCTGATCACTCCGTTCACCCATTCGGCCATCTGAAGACAACATTTAATAGGACTTTAAAGCTGCAGGAAAATGCCCATTTCCATTGCAATTTGTTGCCAACTTTCCCACCGTGTTTGTCGCATTAGAAACCGATCAACTTACCGTCTGTCGGGCTGCAGATGAAGACAAATTGCACTCTCTTCCGCGAACAAATCAAATATCAATGAAAGTCAACACTGAAGCGCGGCTTTCACGAGCGCGTACCGTTTCTGTTCAAGATCGGCGTACGAAATCAACTTCGCTAGCGGAATACCGACTGAATTGACTGAACTAAACCGCAAAGCTTTTCCTGCAAAGCTGCAAAGTGTGCGATAATGCGAAGCGAGTGGGAAAGTGACGTATTTTCACTTCGATCTAGTCGATTGTGGCAGGAGTGCTAAAAATACACTTAATCTGCTGATAAATGGTTGTGGTATCACTCAAGACATTTGAACTCTGGATGGTCTCACGACTTTCCAGTTGCTAAGTTGCATCAGGCGCATTTGCCAGAATATCTGGAACTTTCAGGACGAAAAATGCTTAGAACTCAGACAGACAACTGGCAAATAACTTCAACAGTTAAAGTCCCATTCCTCTTAGCACTACCTTTCTATGGACTTTATTCACCATTAGATCAAGTTAAAAACGACCCCACTAAGGGGTTTCGACACAAAAGAAAACACGTTGGTTTGCTCCATGTGAGAAGTTTCATTATTTATTATTTTACACAGAAAGTTTATAAAACAAAACGGTTGATAATCTAAAATAACGGACAAATGCGCATTTCCCAGTCGAAGTTTTCGATTCAAACTTAACAACACGTATAACGTCAATGATTGTTGGGAACATGGGCAAAATGTAGGCTCCAGAACCAACATCGAATAACGCAATATTTGATTAGGCTGTTCAGGATACGTCTGGAACAAGAACTGATAAACTAGAAAACCAAATGCCCTTAAAAACAATTATGATTCTTAGATCCTAAAGCACTGACTAAACACGTTCCTCGCGCCTTAAACAACTAAGAAACAATCAACAGTCCTCGAAAAAGTAACAACGAAAATCGCCATGCGATCATAGCGGCGATTCCCCAACAATACAATAAAAATAATCAATAACACAAATGCAAAACATACATTATTGTCTGAATGTTTATGTTGTCTTTTCTTAAATCAATGTAATACTGCTTGCTTTGTTACAAGAAAACGGGAGGGTGTTAGTTGGTGTTAACACAAGACTTGCGTTGAACTGAAGAGTTGCGAGAGTAAAGAGAAAAATGCCAAGAGGAACAGGGACTTGGTAAGAGATTCGAGCCAAATGCAGAGCAAAAAATGAGTATGGGATCAAACAAGCATAACATTAACTAAATATCACAAACAAATATTGTCTTTTATATAAATACCCTACATAAAACAACACAGTAATTGAAGAGGTTGCACGCAAAACTATTGGCCTTGATCAATCAATAGTCAACCGTGTAAAACGTACCCATATTTAGAAACAATCCGAGCCAGTGCTTACAAGTATACCTTATATAAGTACCAAATTTAACAATAAATCGCCGAATCGACGCAAACGAACTCCGGGACAAAGAGTCTCTATCAGAGTTCCCTTGCGGCGAATTCCTGCCTCTAATAATACATTAATTCACACTAAGCAAGGGTCCGAAGCAGCTTGATATGAAATCGTGGATATACATTTTTATAGTACTATTTTTACTTCTGCAAATGATGTCCCAATACACATCCAAGGCACAATATGTATTCCAGTACGTACAGTTAGATTTAAATGAACGAGATGCGTCTAGCCGTTCTGAGCCCGTTGAAAGACCGCGAAAAGCCAGCAACCACCTGCGGGGCTACAAGTAAATATCTATGAACAAGTAAAACAGCTTAACCGTTAGAAGGATGAAAGAGTTTTTAAGGGGTTTTTTACAATTTATTATAAAAATACTTTTGATTGATGTTCAATTTCTTACACTCACAATGGAGAAAGTCTAATGAGTTGCAGCACTGAAATACGAAATAATCTATATCTTTACGCTACTCAAACCGAAAAAAACAAGCGCGCCTCGCACGTTACTTGTTCGTCCATTGCAGCATTTCCTGAGACGCGACTGCATATACTCGAAAAACAAAATGTACCACCATTTATTTAAAGTGATTGTTATTGGACCCTGCCTTTTACGGGAAAATATACCCATTTACATAAGTCGGCCAAGTGAAAATCCTATTTATATGGAAATGAAATGCGTTCACCGGCTCTGCATATCTTATCCCTAACATATCGATTGGGTTACCTAATTCTGGTACAAGTTTGTGTATTGTCGAATTTTGATAAAAAGCTCATCGGCAAATAGAAGACTCGACTTGACCGACCGGCGCATTTAAATTCTAAGAGCAATGGAAAGACAGAGCGGATAAGAGATGCCGTATGTAACAAAAAGGAAACGAACACGTTCACCAGTATCACTCGGATATTATGTCCGGGTCCGCCCAGTCGACTTTCGCCCATTCTGGAAGCTCCGTCTCGAATTCCCAGCCTGGACCCTGCAAAACCAGAAAAATGTTCAATTTTCCACTGGCATTTCATCGCGAATTGCCTTCCTACCCGGTATTTCCAGGCATGCAAGTACATGACCAAATCCTGCGGTTTGGGGTCTCGGTACCGCACTTTGCACTCGTAGCAGTGCTGGTCCATCGTCATCTTGTCCGGATTGAAGGCAAAATCGGGCACTTCATGTCCTGTTTGTGTGGCCACTGTTACCTACAGTAAAATACATAGGATGAGTTTGGTCAGTTGGATGAAGAGTTTAGAGCCACAGTGATACTTTCAGAAAATGTTACGGCTTTCCCCATGTTTTTTTTTAGAAAAAACCGAAACGAATGCGATTCTTTTGTAACAGATGAGGTAAAAATTGCGTCAAAATCCGCTGCATCTTGTCTAGTTTCTTTCAGTTTTAAGCGACGCCTCTCACATTTGTACTTCACTAGTAAACGCCGTTCTTCCTGTTCTTAATTCCTTTGCTAACACTGTTTTCCATGTTTTTTTCTTCTTGTTTGCGCTGTTTTCCCTGGCATTTTATCACTTTTTAGCGCCGGTTTTACGTTTTTTGTTCTCTTGTAAACACCGCTTTTTCGGTTCTTTTTGCCCCTGTAAACACCGTTGCTCCTGTTGTCTTGCTTGGTTTTCTTTCACTTTTAAACACTCCCATTTCACTTGCAAACGACGCTTTTCTGGTTCATCTTCTACCTTGTAAACTCCGTTTTTCTTCATTTTTTCTCTATTATGTGCCGTTTCTCCGGTTCT